GTTCTTTTTCACATCTCCTCAAACACTTGTCTTTTGTCTTCTTTGATAATAGGCATCCTAACAAGTATGAGTTTACATCAGTAGTCTAAATTTTCATCTCTTTAATTAATTTTTATCACTTTTCACATATTAGTTAACCATTATATGTCTTCTTTTGAGAAATGTCTGCTTAGATCCTTTGTTCATGATAAGGTCAGGTTATTTGTTTTTATACTAGAAAGTAGATTGAGTTTCTCATATGTTTTAGATACATAAGATGTGTGGTTTACAAATATTTTCTTCCATTGTGGTTGGTAATTTGAGGACTCTTGATCAGCAGAAACAGATGAAGATACGGCGTCTTTGTAACTTGGAGTGTCTGTTGCTATCTAGGAGAGGAAGTATAGCCTGGTGGTTAAAGCAAGAGTTCTGAAGTCATATCACCTCACAAAATTAAGCTGATTAATGTTGGTTAGTATATTAAGTAAAACATGTTTCCATTATTAAAAGATAATAATAAAGGACCTAAGTTCTGTGTTAGAATGAGATTTAAACCTCTCTCACACACATACACAATACTCACAATAAATATTCTACAAGTCAGTAAGAAAATAGAAAATTCTAAATGGATGAAAACATTAATGAGTATAAGAAAATATCAAATGGACAAGAAACATGAAAATATTATCATTATTGCTCATCAAGAAAATGCTAATTAAAATAGCAATGACATATCACCACTTATCCTCAGAGGTAGAAATAAAGACTTAACAATACCCAGAACTGGCAAAGACATGGAACAATGGGAATATTGTTGCTGGAGACTGAGTCAGTAAATCCACTTTAGAAAAGACCTGTGTCTATACAAGATGAACTTATGCCACTTTCCTGATGAAGCAATACCACTGCTGCATATAGATAGGTACCCCAGAGGGATGCAGTACCCAAAACAGACAGCGTAGTACGGCACAGTACAACATAGCACAAAACAGTACAGCATAGCAGCTTTCCTTCTAATCATCAAATAGTGTGACTACTATATACTATATATATGAACATATATATTTGATGGAGTTCCAGAAAAATTAAGGAAAGAATAGTTGTTCTGGGCTATAATATGAATAATCTCACCAATATAATAAGCAGAGAATGAAGGCAAACACATTCTGATACTTTTTTTTTAAATGACAGTGCATGTTACAGCCTAAGAGTTTAATAAAAGCAGAGTTATTCACAATTCATGCTATATATATGAACATATATATTTGATGGAGTTCCAGAAAAATTAAGGAAAGAATAGTTGTTCTGGGCTATAATATGAATAATCTCACCAATATAATAAGCAGAGAATGAAGGCAAACACATTCTGATACTTTTTTTTTAAATGACAGTGCATGTTACAGCCTAAGAGTTTAATAAAAGCAGAGTTATTCACAATTCATGAAAAGATCTACTTTACTCCTATGAAGACACTTTTGCCCATATTTTGTCTTCGTGGAGCACTTTTACGATCTATAAGTAACTTGTAAAGAATCAGTGGAACAAATTCTATCATGTAGAGAAACTACATGTCCTATGACCAAGACTTTTCTGATCACCACTATGACAGTTGCTGATCTCAGGTTTAAATATCTGCCTTGTTGCTACTAAACACCTTAGGCATGAAGTAGTCTATAACCAGTTACCCTTAAATTAAGATGATAATTGGAATTTTCCATGTTTCTCTTCTTTCAATCCTTGCACTATTATAAGAAAAAAAAAACAGGATTTAGGTATTTGACATCTGGAAATTGATATACAAAAAGTTTAAAGCCAGGACTTATGTGTTTACCTCTGAAACCAGGAAGTAGTGAGGGCATGAGGGTCAGGAGTTTGTTATCATCCTTGGCTACTAGGAAGTTTGAGGCTAGCTTGAGTTACATGGGACCCTGTCTCAACAACCCCCATATATATATATATGTACACATATATGTAGATATATAGAGAGACAGAGGATTCTGTGAGCTGTCACCCCCAAAGTTTTCCTTTTTTGAAGGCTACTTTAAAAGTGTTAGCCAGGTGTGGTGGTACATGCCTTTAATCACAGCGCTCAGTGGGAGGGTCAAGTAGCTATCTGAAAACAAAGTCAGCCCAGCCTGCATAGTGAGTTCCAGACCCTACTGGGGCTACAGGGTGGCCCTGCCCTACAGAGAAGTAAGAGTTAATTTGTGACTAAAGAAATGGCTCAGTGGTTAAGAGCGCTTGCTGTTCTTGCAGAGGACGTGAGTTTGTTTCCAGAACCCACAATGGGTGGCACACAACAACCTGTAACTCCAGATCCACTGGATCCAGTGCCCTCTTCTGGCCACCTGGGCACCTATACATGTGTACGCATATTGACACATACACACAAATAGAAATAAAATTTAAAAAATAACAGTTAATTTGAATCATCATGTTACTTGAAGAAGAGAATTAGATTTGCAACATCTAATAACCCAAAGGAGAGCTTTGTTTCAAAAAAAATGAGAATAGAAAAAGTTTTACATAGTTTAGTTTCTGTGCATTCAAATATCTAAAACCTATCCAAATAAATGGAAACATGTGTTACCACAGATATGGTCATATTCAAACTTGCAAATAAAACACTGTATTATATGCTGTCTCTTCTTGCCAGGTTATTGCAGTGACACAGGTACAGTCAGCTGTGCTAGCAGTGGCTTCGGAGCAAATAACATGTTCATAAAGACCTATTTTGGATCCTATCTTGTCGTGTATAGTATTTCCAAGAAAAAAATATTATAATCAAAAGAAATGATAAGAGAGGTGGCTCAGCAGTTGGTTGGTGAGAATTCTTGCTGCTGTTGCAGAAGAGTCAGCTTCAGTTCTCAGAACCCACATGGCAGCTCAGACATCCTCTTCTGGACTGTGTGGGCACTGCACACATACCATACAAACTTTCCCATACATTAAGAGAATAAAAATAAATAAGTCTTTTTAAAAAGGATTCATAAAATTAGCTGTATAAAAATCAAATGCTTCTCAGGAAATTCCTGCCTAAGTGTGCCATTTCTGCAGATTTGCCTGGTTGCCCTGGGGATTCTTTTATTTAAATTTAATGATAAAGGGTGATTATCAAAATATCTTTATATTTAAAACCATGTGATTTAGGGGGTTGGAGAGATGGCTCAGCAGTTAAGAGCACTGGCTACTCTTGCAGAGGACCCAGGTTTGAAGCCCACCATTCACATGGTGGCTAAAAACCATCAGCATTCCAGCTCCAGGATTTCTGACACCCTCTTCTGACCTCAGTGGGCATTGAACAACATGGGTGCACTCACATACATACAGTCAATGCACTCATACACATAAAAATAAAAAATATTAAAAATATGTGATTTAAGTATGTTGTAGTTTACCATCTGACCCTTATAGAATTTTTTATTTTATGCATATGATTTAAATTAAATATAAAGCTGGTTACCCTCAGTAATTTGAAAAAGGTAGCTACTATTACCTACTATTACCCAGACTTCAAAATATACCCAAACTGAGATTCATAGAGGCTGAATGAATTCTTGAAGTCATCTAGTAACCTTAGCACTTTTCCTATATTGTGCCACATATTTGGCCTCAGTTTATCTTAGCAACGCTTAACACAGGTTTGCCACTGTTCAGTACTTTCTGCCTCTGAAGATGCATTGTCACCAACTTAAAAAGAGGCTTGATTTCAGATATTTGTAGAACATACAGACTCCAGTTAGATAAAATGTCTGAAATTTCAGATGTGGCCTCGATAGAAGGAGATTTGTTCATGGGTCCTCAATACAGAGGCATTATCATATGAGATGGTTACATCTCCTAGGTTGTTCAGAGCAGGAAGGTGAGAACTCCTCAACATCTGCTCCCAGGCATGGTGGGACAGAAATCCACAACTCTTAAGTGGAAGAGGACTGGGAAGGGAGAGGCCAGAATTAGCAATATGCAGGATAACAGTTGCCAAATAATAACTCTGAGGAATGGAGTTTAACAGTAGTATCAGAGGCATCACAGATTGAAAGAGAAGGACTGATATTGTCTGTTGATCTTGTCAGTCAGATGGTTACAAGACTATTAGCAAGAGTATGTTTATTCAAGTTTCAGCAAACTTAAGTTGGATTTTAATAAATTGGATATCAGGGCTTGGAAAACGAGTGTACCACCCAGTCCCATAGCCACTGCCCACTTGTGGCTATTAGCACTTGTAATGCAAGTACTGTAGTCTGAGATCTACTGTAATTGCAAAATATGTGCAAGATTTCTGGGGCTGGAGAGTTGGCTCAGCGGTTAAAGCACTGACTGCTCTTGCAGAGGACCCAGGTTTGATTCCCAGCACCCACATGGCGGCTACAAACTGTCCTTAACTCCAGTTCCAGGGGAATCCGAAGCCCTCTTTTGACCTGTGTAGCATTGCATGCCATGGGTACGCTCACATACATGCAGGCAATACACTCATATACATAAAATAAAAATAATAAAATATTTTTTTAAATATGCACAAGATTTCAAAGAGTATCTTGATGGAAATGCAGCATCAAGAAACAGGACTGTTAACGTGTCAGTGGACTGGGAAAGGAAGAGTTTGAGGGGAGCATCAAAGATGGAGCAAATAATGGGGTTACTTAATGAGCTAATGGGGTTCATTAAGAGAGCTATGAAGTAAGTTTACAGGTAGAGAGCAGAGTTGATCCAGAAAGACATCTTATTCTCTGAAGGGTGACCAAAATAAGGTGAGGCTAGACCTAAACAGATTAAAAATGAAAAAAAGTGAAAGCTCAGACAGTAAGTTGAAGGCGTTTGACACATAAAAGACATTCAAGTTTCTATGAGGGATTTGTATGACCTATGAAGATTTTTCACTAAATTATAAGTTTGCATGATTGAATTATAATTTTTTCATAAAGAAGTGTCTGCTGTGTAGGAATTTGTTAAGATAATTAGTAATAAAGATGCTTATTCTGAAAATGAACTGCTCTTCTTGACAAAAATTTTATTGTTTGTAGGAGAGTTTGATGCTGTACAGAGTCCCTCCACACCAATTAAAGATCTTGATGACAGAACATGTAGGAGTTCTGGGTCAAAGTCTCGAGGAAGAGGCCGGAAAAATAATCCTTCCCCACCTCCTGACAGTGACCTGGAGGTATGCCTACTTATTCTTAGGAAATATGGACTGGAGAGATGGCTCAGTGGTCAAGAGCACTGACTCCTTTGAAGAGGACCTGGGTTCAATTCCCAGCACCCATATGGCAGCTAACAACCATCTGTAACTCCAGTTCCAAGGAATCTGACACCCTCTCCTGACTTCTGTGGGCATTACCACGGCATACACTCACACAGACATGCATACATGTAAATAAAAGTAAAATCTTTTCTTAAAATACAGAAACCCAGACAGTCCATGACACGTTTTAAGCCAATGAATGTATCATAAATCTAATAGACCTGCTTTGTCTTAAGTATTTGATATCTTTGACTTTTGAGACTTTTTTCATTGTAGTTGCACAATTAAAAGCAACAGAAAATCTGAAGTAGCAGTACTTTAAAAATTAAAGCCTAATATAGTTTGATCTTTTGATCCAAATTGACAAAAAATAAAATTAAAAGAAAGCTATCATTTGGGGGATAATATCCTGAGAAGACTGTATTTGGCAGCATTAAAGTGATGAAAGACACATGCGCGCGCGCACACACACACACACACACACACACACACACACATACACACACACGAGTCAATAATTTTAAGAAAATAAAAGCGATCTGGAAAGGACAACTTGTCAGTTGGTATGTGTGTTAAAGTTGTATTAGTGAAATTTTTAATGTATAGTTTCTTTCCATTTGTGAGCTCTTTTGAGCAATAACTGCACTGATCAAGTTGAGTTTATATTATAAAACATCAAGAAAATTATCATTAACCAAAATATACTGTTTCTTACACAACTGTGTATTTCAACTAAAGGACAGAAACTGAATTTCCAGAAATGATACGAATCAAATAGCAGACATTGTGCCTCTTCCTATGAGATTTCGCGCAACACTAGTAGTTAATTTAAATGTGCTCAGCAGCTTGGCAAAGGATATAATAAGTGACCAGCTAGGGAACCCAGCAGACAGTGGGGGTGGGAACACTAGTCCATTCCAAGGAGCACACCAGTCATGCACTGTTGGAGTGCCAGCCAGTGTGGCCCAAACCCAAGGTTCTCTGCCAAAGTCAAAACCCTGATGTTTGGGTGGGATTTCCTAAATTTGAAATGTTGATGAATATTTTGAAATCTTTCCAAAGTCTCTGCAGGCCAAATAACACATTCACCAACCTACTGTGACCCAGAGGTCCACATTTTGTAATTCCTGCTTAGAGGCTGCTCATAGATTCTGCTAAATATTTTTAATGTATATTTTTATTGAATTTTTGTGGATTTCATATAATACATTGTAATCATATTTAGACCTCCTCCTCTAACTGTATCCCCCCATAGTCCACCCACAGGATTTTATGTATTCTGTCCTATATGTCAAGGCCTAGAGAGTCAAATTTGTGTACCTAGGTGTCCCTCGGTGTGAGTTTGTCCACTGGAGCCTGGTCAGCCTATCTAGCATCACTCCATTAAAGAAGACTGACTTTCCCTCACCTAGCAGTGATCAACTGCCAATAGTTGCATGGTTAAGGTTGGGGCCTCCTGCCCATTTCCCCAGTTCTATGCTGGGTTTTGTCAGATTAAGTTTGCATGGATCTTGTGCATGCTGTCACCATTGCTGAAAGCTCATACGAGCAAGGTCCCAGGAGTCTGTAAGACTCCATTTCCTTATGGTCATGCACAATATATTTAATGTCTTCCATAAATCGCAAATTTTCATGAATCCATGAGTTCTAAAACTATAAATATATATAATGGTTAAACTTCTATCATAAAGTCAGAGTGTATCCTTTATATATTAACTTCAGTTTAATGTTGGATTAACTCATCTGACTATTATGTTGTGATCATTTGTGGAACCATGCCCTTCAAGTATTACAGGAGTTAGATTTGGCAAATTAAAAAAAAAAAAACACAAATACCAGAAGTAGATACTTTCCCATAAACCAGTGTCAAGACTTACATTCAATGAAGGGGATGTTTTCTATGGGTAAAGATTTGTGTTCTTCAACATAACATTTTGACACTGGCCTTTTCTCTTCAGCGTGTGTTTGTCTGGGACTTGGATGAAACCATCATTGTTTTCCACTCACTGCTCACGGGGTCTTATGCACAAAAGTATGGCAAGGTAAGGGGAATCAAGGCATTTCATTCAAAATGGGGTGTTAGAATTTATTTGGTTCAAAAATCAAAGTCTGTTTCTAAAATATTTTGTGGTTTTATTGCAGTCTGTCACGTCTTCTCTTAATTATCTCTTTTGAGTGTCTTACTGTTCTTGGATGTGTATTAGCAATGTTTGCAAAGCTAATTAAAAATCGGATTTTCTGGGAATGGAGAGAGATGGTCCCAAGATTAAGAGCACTTGAAGCTCTTCCAGAGGCCCAAAGGTAGCTAACAACTAGCTGTAACTCTAGTTCCAGAGGACCTGATGCCCTCTTCTAGCCTTCTAGGCCTTGTACAGACATGGTATATTTACATGCAGGCAAAACATTCATATACACAAAATAAAAATAAATAATTTTTAAAAGTTGGATTTCCTTTACATTCTTCACAGTAACCAAGTTTCTATATTAAGAAAAAAATCCTTATTCTCACATATTTTAGAAAGAATTTGTAAATCTATGTGAGTTTCAAAACATTGTGAGGCATATTAGTTCCTACTAGGAGAACTTTATGAAATTGAACGATTTTGCTGCACAAATTCTTGTCATCAGTGCTATTTATAAGTTGTCTTTGGCCTGTCAGATTTTTCAGATTTATGAATGAAAGTGTTTTTCTGCAGCTTGAGCACTCCCCTGAAGTGACTAGAGATAATACCCCTTCTGGAACACAAAGTCAATGAGCAAAGGCTCATTACCTGGCTGTTTTTCTCTCCTGCTTCGCTTTTGTAGTAAACTTTTTATCACAGTGCTGTATCTGGGCAGGTGCTGCTCCCTGGACTGATAGAACTGCAGCAGACTGCCTTTCTGGGAACAAAGGTTGTTGGGCCATTACGTCTTTGACTGTCAGAATTCTATCTAATCAGTCAAATGAGAATATAGCCTACCTTTGATTGCTTTCTTCAAACATTTCACTTTTATTCTTTCACATATCATAGCTACAGCTACAGAAAGATCTTGCTGTATCTTTGCATCATAACACATTCGTGGATGGTTTCTGATGTCAACTCAGCATGCCATTTTTAGCAACTATTTTATGTTTTTCTAGATAGGTCATAATGGATTGCATTCAACTGCATTTGGCTGAATCTATACTGTCATTTCTCTTTACTTTCTAAGTAGATATGAAAGGCAATAATTTTTTACAATCACTTGAAAAGAGTCTTAGACCACTTAACACAATAACTGTTGTGCTGGATAGCTTTAGTGTCAACTTGACACACCTGGGTTGAGGGAGCCTCAATTGGGGAATTTCCTCTATTGGACTGGCCTGTGGCCATGTCTGAGGGGCATTTTCTTGATTGTTGAGTGATGTGGGAGGGCCCAACCCACTGT